CCGGCCCGTCGCTTGATCATGGACGACTCGGCGGACAGCGAGGGCGCCTTGGCGCCGACGGGCTCTGCGAGCGCCAAGTCAAGTTCGACAAGCTTTCTTACCGGAAGGACGGCACGGGGTACCCCTGGGCCGGGCACAGCAGCGCGAAGCCCAGCCCCACCTTGCGCCTCACAAGGGAGATGGACTCGGTGGACAGCGCCGGCGCCTTGGCCCCGACGGGCTCTGCGCGGCAAAGGGCCGACATGGAGTGTCTGGCTTACCGGAACGCGGGCACGGGGAACCCCTGCGCCGGGCACAGCAGCGCGAAGCCCTGGCCGCGCCTCCGCCTGATGGCGCTGATGGTCGAGTCGGTGGCGAAGGACGGCGCCTTGGCCCCGACCGGCTCTGCGCGCGGCGATCGCCAAGTCAAAGTCGGAGAGGTTGTGGCCAGCTTACCGGAACGCGGGGACGGGGTACCCTTGCGCCGGGCACAGCAGCGCGAAGCCCTGGCCCTCGTAGCGCTCGATCCACTGCTTCTTGGCGTCCAGCGAGAACTTGGGCGACTTGGTCCCAACGGGTTCTACACCAACAAACCAGGATCTCCCTCAGCGGCCGGCCGGCGAGCTTGCTCGCGTTCCGGCCGGTGCTCTGTGAACAGCGTTGCCTAGCCGGCCGGCCGATCCAAGTGTCCCAACCGTTCCAACCAGGACCAAACTGCTCCTTGGAGCTGCTCACCGGAACGAAGGCGCCGGGCTGGCCTGCGCCTGGCACAGCAGCGCGAAGCTCTGGCCCTGGCGGCGCGCGAAGGAGCCACTCTTGAGGTCGCTCTGGAAGGTCGGAGCCTTGGCGCCCACGGGCTCTGGGGAGGGAGGGCGCTTTAGCAGTGGTGGGGACCGCGCCGCCGCCGCGTCGCCGAATGTTGGGGTGGGGGTGGGCACTTGTTGCGGAGCGCGGCGCCACTACACTGGGGCATGCTTGGCATGCTGGAGCGCGGTCCGCGGTCGCCATGCCGACGGCAGCCGACCAACCAGTTACCTGTAGTGTGGCACCGGGAAGGCCTGCGCGGGGCAGAGCAGCGTCTGGGCCTCGCGCTCCGACACCACAAACGTGCGGCTCTTGTCGGTCATGGCGAACTTGGGCCGCGAGCTGCCGATCGGTTCTGAGGGGCACGGGGGGCGTCAGAGGGTCGCCGTCAGCACGCCGCCGTCGTGGGGATAAGGGGTGTTCCCGTTGCTGTCACTACCCACGCTTCCAGTGTACTCGATAGCCGTCACCCAACGCACAGTGGGCCACAAGGCCGAAGGATGCGGCCAAAATTCTAGACGCGTTTGAGCTTCAGAGTGGCTAAATGGCACATGAACCGAAGGTGTGTCCCCACCAATGGATTGCTCTCCGAATGAGGAATCCATTGCTGCGGGTCACACGCTTAGTTGAAGTCCTGTTTAGCGACTCTGGAGCTCAAAACGCGTCCAGAGTTTTAGCCGCCTCCACCGGTATTCTGCCACCCTGTTCAACGCGTTACCCGATAACCTCCTCCTCCAGGCCTACTCGTTGGTTACCTGTAGTGGGGCACGGGGAAGGCCTGGGCGGGACAGAGCAGCGTGAGGCTATTTCCGAGCGACGCCGCGAAGGTCCTGCTCTTGTCCGCGTTCGGAAACTTGGGCGCCGAACTGCCGACGGGTTCTGGCGAGGGCGGTGCCGCGGGGGTTAGCAGCGTAACTACTTAGTTACCGGAACGCTGGGACCGGGCACCCCTCGGGGAAGGACCTAGTTACCTGTAGTGAGGCACGGGGAACGCCTGGGCGGGGCACAGGATGGTGACGCTCTGGCCGAGCGAGCCGGCGAACGAGAGACTTTTGTAGGCCGTGGGGAACTTGGGCCCGGAACTACCGACCGGCTCTGTAGTTACGGAGACAGGTCAGTAACTAGTCGTTACCTGAACGAGGGCACAGGGTACGCCTGCGCGGGGCAGAGGAGCGTGAGGGCGCTGCTGGCCGCCACCGAGTAGATGTTGCCCTTGCTGGCGGTGGGGAACTTGGGCGCCGCCGAACCGACGGGCTCTGGAAGGAGGCGTTACGTTCCGAGTTCGCGAACTACTCTACCTGGATGGCTGGGAGCAGGGTGTCCTGGCTGAGCCCTGGCCTACCTGAACATGGGGACCGGGAACGCCTGCCCGGGGCAGAGCAGGGTGATGGTGTCCGCGGCGCGCACCCGCACCGCTCTCAAACTCTCCGCCGAGGGGAACTTGGGACTGGAGAAGCCCACGGGCTCTGCGGGAGCATGTCGCTGTAGCGCGGAGTATCGCCACTCGTTACCTGTACGTTGGGACGGGGAAGGCCTGCGCGGGGCACAGGAGGGTGAGGCTCTGCCCGGAGCGGACTCGCGACCCGCGCAGGTTGTCCGCCGTGGGGAACTTGGGGCCGGAGTAGCCGACGGGCTCTGCCAAGCCAAACAGCCGAACTTAGCGTCTCTGCGGCGCGGGGTGCTCGTTACCTGTACGTCGGGACGGGGAAGGCCTGCGCCGGGCACAGCATGGTCATGGCCTCGCCGAGGCGCGCCTTGAGGCCGCGGCTGCTCTCCACGCCGGCAAACTTGGGGCTGGCCGCGCCGACGGGTTCTACAAAGCGAGGGGTATCGCCGGGTGAGGCGCGCGGGGTATAGCCGTTACCTGTACATCGGGACGGGGAAGGCCTGCGCCGGGCACAGCATGGTGAGCGCGAGGCCCTCGCGCGTCCGGAAGCTGCGGCCCGTGTCTACGGTGGGGAACTTTGGGCCGGACGCCCCCACGGGCTCTACAAGCAGGCCGTCGAGTTAGACGCCGCGCTCTGTGGATCGCTGCCCGAGTGCAAGAGCCCCACGAAAAAGACGGAAGGCGGGGAGCCAACCCTGCGGTTCGGAGACGGGAAGCGACGACCATAACCACTACGCCACGCGAGCCCTTGATCTACGCCGCGGCCCAGCTGGCGCGACTCCCACCGCAGCAGCCGGCCAGCCATTGCGGCGCTGCAGCCCTTGACACAGTGGGGGCTTCGCGTCGCCGCCACCCAACACGCCGTGGTCCCAATCTCTCGCGGCGGTCAATACTCCCTGCCGAGCCTGGCCGAGCCTGGCCGAGCCCTGGCGGGGTGGGGTTGGCTCGGCGCCGAGCGAAGTGGCGGCAGTGCGGCTTTCAGGGTCGGGGCGAGCGCAGCGCGCAGCAAGCGGAGCAACAGGTGGACGCCAGCCCCGCCAAAGCCCGCGAATCCGCGCAGCAGTGGGGCTGGGCGGGGGCCGTGGCCGGGGCAGGGCCGCACAGTGGCCCAAAAGACCGGCGCAGGCGATGAAAACTCCAGCTGCGTTATGAGCTCTAGAGTCGCTGAACGGGACTCGAACCAAACGTGTGACCCCGTCAATGGATTCCTCGTTCTAAGAGCAATCCATTGGTGGGGTCACACGGTCGATTCGAGCTTCATTTAGCGACTCTGGAACTTAAAACCCGTCGTGGATTTTTACCGCCATTACCGGCCTTCTGGCCCACTGTGGGCCGCACCCTCGGTCCCTCCCTCGGTCGTACCTGGACCTGGGCACGGGGAAGCCCTGCGCCGGGCAGAACAGCACGGTGGCCTCGCCGCCTGCCACCACGAACGACGTGATCTTGTTGGCGGTCGGGAACTTGGGAGGCATGCTGCCGACCGGCTCTAGCGGAGGAACAGGAAACGACGGTTTCACCGCACGCGAATAACTCGAGGCGCAACCCTGTACTTCAACCTGCACAGTGTTGCGGAAACTCTGAGTTTGTGTTTGTGTGTGTGTATGTGTGAGTGAGACGCGGCGCCAGGCTTCGCCACTGCTGCCACCACCACCACCTCCTCCTCCCCTCCTGGCTTCGCGTTTATCTCTCAATTCAATACATTTCAAAATTTTGAAACAAAAAAAAGGTAAAAAAAAGTTTTTAATGATTTGTTTTGAATTTACGAAAGGAGTGGCCGTCAGCTAACAGGGGTACCCTTATCCCAACATTCAGGCAACGATTTCACAGAGTACACAACAGAGGGGTGGGGGATCTACCCCGAGTCGAAATAGATCCACCGCCCCTCACAAAGACATGGCCTGGACACAGTTAACAACCAGCAAAGTTCTGAACCAAATACGTAAAAAAAAAAGAATTTATTCATTGTGATTTAGATGACAAGCCTGGTGGCACGGTGTTAACTGCATCCAAAGCGACACACATTGCACAGTAAAAACAACACAGGTGTGGCACCAACAAACAATGAAAAATTGAGTCTAAAGATCAAATAAACTCGTGAACACGAAAATTACGTTATTTACATATTTATACAAGTCATATTTAAATTTTAAAAATAAATAATGAAGAGGGTATGATAGAAAGGACAAACAACATGATTCTAGGTTTTTTAAATAAGGAGAGGAATCTACTGGAGATTTAACTTTTAGGGAGAGCGGAGCGACTAAGGGAAACGGTACCACACCTAACACAAATCAATTAGAGTGACTACGGATCTAATTGATTGACAAAAATTTAAAATTCATGAAACAAAGGAGATGGTAAATAGCGAGGGCAACAGGATTCAAAAGGCCAAATTGAAAAGGAAAAGGTATAGGTATAAAATGGTCAGAGTAACTAGAGAATCTTACTGAAAAACGATTAGTGAGAGACACTGTACATGAAGACGTTTCAAAATGTCAAACTAGTATTTACAAGATGGCGCAGTATTCGCATCAAACCCCGCTATTTGCCTTCAACCTATGCTAAAATGAGTTTCTCAAAAGTTAATCAAATCATTCTGATCTGGTAGAGGGCACCAAATTCGGATATTCTCGTACAAATGGCACACAAAATCTTTGCCTTCGATGTCACGACTAGACATGCTGTGCCTTCTGCCCGAATTCGGGTTCGTCAGCTCCATCGATTGATGGTTCATGCAATCGCGATTTGATGCCCTCTACAAATTTACGGCTGAACTTTCAAAAATGAATTAATTATTTAATGAATGGAATGGAAGTGGAATTGAACTTACCGGTGATGACTAGACGACCCTTGGTAGCGCTGAGACGAGTCTCCCCGGTGAGGCGATGCTTGGTGCGGCACTGGTAGGTCTTGTATCCGTCTTCGGGGCCGACGTCGCGGATGTGGAGTTCTCCGGAGGGAAGGACCAGGTACTTGCCATCTGTGCCAACAGCACAAGCGGAGCGTCAGGCCCAGCCCAGGTGGTCCAAGAGGGAGCAAGTTCGCTTTCTTTTAGCAAATTTTTACTTGTCGATAAAAAGAAGCTAGATTCCTTTGCTTTTTAACTTTCAAAGACGCGACTTGATTTTGATACAGTAGTTAATGTCTCGGAACTTGCTGCCTCTTTTCGATTGTCAGAATAAAACTTCACATGAATGAAAATAGAAAACATTCGACGGGTAGGAGGCCGTGTTATGATAACCAAGATAATAATTTAAGTACGAAGAACAAGAACATCGAGAAACGTTTACCTATGCTTCGACTTATACTCATCAGTGCCAATATATTCAGTTAAAATTTGACAGACTAGAAGGCAAACGTCGAATGTTTTCGCACAGCACGGGCCACAGTGCATTCGGGTTTAGCAAGAAGGCAAGAAAATATAAGGATAGAATGGATCAAAAATCTAGAAAATGCCTTAGCTTGAACAACCCTCTTGCACCGCGCAAAGGAAATCTTGAGTTGAATCTCAGTTGAGTCCGTTCTTCAAAATAAATAAAAAAGGACACTAGTCCACAACTGACACGAGTTTAATTTTTAGGGACCTCACTACAGGCAAGGATTTGCAATAAAATATTAAGTTCCTTGTGAAGAAAACGGGAGACACTGAGGTTCAACTGAATCAATGGTTGCAAACTTCCAAGCTAAAAGATTTTAGTAAACTTTAGATATTAATTTCTTTTTTGGATTGCTTTTCAAATTGATTGGAATGAAAGTTCTATTTTAGATATGATGTGCAACCACTAATTTCAAGATAAATAAACAAGCCATGCTCTTAGTGTCTACATTCTACTCATAAAAATTCAGTTTTCCTGAGCAAAATCAATTTAAGATTTGTAACAAACTTGCGATGACGCACGATTCACCACGCAGAAAGGTAATTTTTAAAAAACGCTTGAACATACACATATAGATAGAAACTGTTGCAATGAGTGTTTACTATTTTTTACGCTTTTCAGGAAAACTGGATAGTTATGGTTACATCACAATACAAACATAGCATACAGGTAACATAATCATCATTGAAATAGCACAGGCACTAAGACACCGTTTATGAATGGAGTAGTAAGTCTAGTTCATGCAGTGTACCTCCTCTGAGTGTCATAAGTAATAATGAAATCTTTATTCTGTTTACTGAAGCAGTTCTTATTCAACTGACGTCTTTTTTTAAATGTTTGAAGACATGTTTGAGTTACGAGGTGCAGCTTGTATGAATCAGGCTTTCTACTCCACGAACAAGAGCAGAACATATGCTTTCCAGTCAGCCACAACGATTTACAAAAAATGCCCTGCAAAGAGAAAAGCAACAGCTGCATTTGCCAGTTATTTCTTGTTTTACGGTTCGGGCTTCGTTTTTAGCCGAGCCTGTCCTCAGCTTGGATCATAAACAGCAGGTAAATGAATTCATTGAGACCGGAAGTTTTAAAAAAAGAGAAGGCTGCATGAATTGACTCTCTCTCCATGCGATAGTGACTGGTTGTAACCGGCAAATGCAGATGTTACCATAGTCGTGCTCCTCGCGGATCTCGTGCTGGCCGTCCTGCGCGCCCTGCACCCAGGAGGCCACCGTCACGTAGTCGGCCACGAAGCTGGGGATGTGGCACTTGATGATGGCCGTGTTGCCGCGCAGGACGTGCTCGTCCATCACGTTCACCGAGTACTGCTGCGTCACCACTGCGTCAGCAACACACCGTCAGTCCGAGTCCACGACACACCACCACCACCCGCAGCGATGTCGCGCCCAGACAAGTCGCGTTCAACAGTTTCGACAGTTAAGTACTCAAAGAATTTTTAAATTATTTCAATCAAAACTATTCAAAATTATCAGACGCTTCAGTCTGAAATGAATTTTTAGGGGATTTGAGCAGAAATTTTCAGAGAATGTTGTTAATTATAGATTCAGACTATCAAGTCTTACAATACATGTCTGAAGTTTTAGAATTTTTTCAACAGTAAAAATTTTGGAACTAAGAAAAGAATTGAGTGATCTAAATTCAAAATGATTCGCTTGGGAGGGGCCAGGTGTTTCCGCGAAAGGCGACGCCATTGCGCAACCCGCACGTGGCGCCGCCGCTTCGCAACGACCACCTTCCCCGTGCGGCAGTCCGCCTTGTCCGGGGCGACGCGCTCTGTCCACTTCACGCTCCGGCCTGCCCACTGCACTGCGACCTGCAAACTCCTGGAAAAGTCCTGGAAAGAAGAGGGTCGTGTAGACACGGCGTGCTTCCTGCCTGTCTGTTTACCGTAGTCGGTCGGGCTGGGCACGTAGCGGCCGCCCTGGGAGTCCTCCCAGTTGCCGATCTCCACGTGGTCCGACACGAAGGACGGGATGTTACACTTGAACACGGCCGCGTTGCCCTTTATCACAAACACATCGTACACCTGCGCCTCGTAGTACTGATTCACCACTGTAACAGCAACAACGGCAGCGGGGCCGCAGGTCAGACAGTGGCCGCGGCAGCGCGGTGGTGGTGGTTCCTGTGGGGTTAGTGGGTGGTTCCTGTGGGGGAGAAAGAGTTAGTCGTTCCTGCGGAAGAGAGGAGAGTCATCATATGGCAGTGAAGGGCCGTCGGAGATTAAAAATTCCTCAGTCATTGAATTTTTTAAGACAATTTTCATAGTGATTTTTAAAGGGGCTGTCGGAGATTAAAAATTCCGCAGTCAATGATTTTTTTTAAAAAGACAAGTTTAGTTGTATTTGTTTTTTTTTTAAATTAGAAAGTCGACAGTAATTTGTATATATTTTTTAAAATTGACTGTGAAGTTTGGTTCCGACGGCCCTCCAGGGTGCACGACGTGCCAGGGCTGCGCGAGGGCTGCGCTAGGGCTGCCATTACCGTAGCCGTCGTCGGAGGGCACGTGGGACTTTCCGTCGTCCGACAGCCACTCCACGACCTGCACGAAGTCCGCCACGAACGACGGCACCAGGCACCTGAGCGTGGCCGCGTTGCCGCGCAGCACGAACTCGTCGATGACGCGAGTCTGGTAAAACTGGTGCACCACTAGAAACAAACAAGCGGGTAGAGACTCGCGGTGCTGCTGCTGGTCTGCGGGAGAAGGTTTGGGTTAGTCTCGGCTCGGCGCGGAGGCGGACACTCCAGAACGTCAGCTGAAACCTGCCTCTACTGGGTGCATGCTCGTGGCCGAGTGGCTATCGACGCCAAGCGCGGGGTGAAAGGACGCGGGTTCAACTACCAAAACCCCCGCGCGTGAAAAAAAATTAAAATTTTGATACTCGTTCTGAACTATTACCGTAGTCAGCGTCCGGGCGGTAAGAGTTGCCGGCACTGTCCACCCACATCTCAACGTGCACGAAGTCCGCCACAAAGCTGGGGACTTCGCACTTCATGACGGCCGAGTTGCCTCGGATGACGTACTCGTTGTCCGCCTCCACCTCGTACGACTGAGCCACCACTAGAAAACGCAAGGCGGATCAGTCACACTGCTGCGAGAGAGAGACAAAGCACGTGCGCATTCACCTGCGGGGGAGAGAGACAGAGAAAGAGGGAGGGGACTCTGTTTACCGTAGTCCGTCTGGCCCTTGCTGTACACATGCGTGTCCCCGGAGTCTGACAGCCACGCGTCAATCGACACAAAGTCCGCCACGAAGCTGGGGATCTTGCACTTCATGACCGCCGAGTTGCCCCGGATAACGTACTCGTTTTCGGCCTCCGTGATGTAGTGCTGGGACACCACTGCGGGGACACAAGGCAAGGCTGCTGTCTGGAGGGGCGACACTCTTTGACACTCTTTGACACACTGTGACCACTGTGACGGCGGCCAGGCGCGCCGCGGAGGCGGGCTCCGCGACGCCTCTGCTCGCTCTGGGGTAGCACGGCGCCGAGCGCGGCGGCGCGGCGTGGAGCATTACCGTCCGGCTGGCCCCCGGGCACCAGGGCCTCCCCCGAGTCCGTGAGCCAGGCCTGCACGCTCACAAAGTCCGCTACGAAGGAGGGGATGCTGCACTTGAGGATGGCCGTGTTGCCGCGGATGACGTACTCGGTGAGGATCTCGGCCTTGTAGAACTGGTTGACAACTACGCGGGGAAAAAGGGCCGGTTAGGTTAGTCGGCGCCCAGGGCGCGCAGGGCATTACCGTAGTCACTGGTCGGCAGGTAGGCCGTTTCGTCACTCGCCACCCACGCGTCCACGCGGACAAAGTCCGCCACGAAGGAGGGAATGTTACACTTGAGCACCGCCGTGTTGCCCTTTATCACGTACTCGGAGACGACCTCCGCCTCGTAGAACTGGGACACGACTGCGGGGCACGCGACACGTTAGTACAGCCGGACAACGCCGACACGCCGCGACACGCCGCGCGCTGCGGTCGCCATACCTGTGGAGTTCGAACCGCCGCACCGCGAGAAACACCCAAACGCCAGCACCGAAAAAAAAAGTTTAAAGAAAACTAGTGTTGGACGATGTGGATGTTTCTTACGGATTAGTCGGGCTCTGCGAGACACTGGAAACACGATTAGGGCAGCTGGAGGCGCCTGGAAAAGGACCGCGGTTCGGGTGTTGTTAGCCAGCAGTTACCGTTGTGACTGTCCTTGGGCGAGTACGAGTGGCCTTCGGAGTCCTCCCAGGACACGACGCTTACAAAGTCCGCCACGAACGACGGGATCGAACACTTGAGCACGGCCGCGTTGCCGCGAATCACGTACTCGTTGTTCACCTCGGACTGATAAAACTGTTGCACCACTGCGGGACAAGAGAGCGAGTCAAGGTTCGAGCCCAGCCGACGGCGCTTTTCTTTTCGGTGCTTTTGCTGCGTTCTGCTGGGAACCTGGCTGGAAAAGGGGAGGCTCTAGCCTAGGGCATGCGGGAGAGAGAGCGTCACTCCGAATTACCGTAGTCGGAACCCGGCGTGAAATTGTCGCCCTGCTCGGTGTGCCAGGACACCACCGACACGAAGTCGGCCACGAAGGACGGCACCTGACACTTTAGCACCGCCGAGTTGCCCCGGATCGCGTACTCCTTGTTCACGTCCGTGTCGTAGTGTTGGGACACCACTGCAAACGCCGCAAGGCGAGGCCACACGAGAGGGAAACAAATTAAAAAGATTATCATTGCCTTTACAAATGCCCTATGGCGCGAGAAGGAAAGTCTTAGAGTTTTATAAGAGTCCGATGGAAATTCTTTTTTACAAAACCGTAGTCTTGATCAATAATTTTTTTCACACACGGGCAAAATACTCAACTAACTGTGTTTGGTTCCCGCTCAATCAGCACGAATTAATCTTTAGAAAAAATCTAATGCAAAAGACAAGGAACGACTTACCCAAACGGCATCACCACAGTACAGAGACAAAGTCAAAAAACACTCCTACAATACACTTCGGGGAACAGGGTCACAGTCATCATCGGAACACGCTTATCGTCGGGGGAGGAGCTGCACTGGAGGACTTTCCAAAATAATTTTAATTTTATTTTGAAACAATGGACGTAAATAGTTGGACATTATTTTTTTCTCTCCGCGTGAAAATGAAGCGAACTCGCGGCGAACGAGGTGCGTTCGGAGCGCGGGTTGGTTTCTACCGCCAGCGGGAAGCGCCCGACGAACGACGCGCGGCAACGCGCTGGGCGCGCCAGTGGAGCGGGCGGCCTACCTCGCCATTACCATTACCATTAAGGGCTAGGGGCGCTCTGGCCGACCGCGGTCTGCCCACCACCGGCCACCGCTCCGCGCTCCACGCCGCCAGTGCTGCCACATACGGAGGCACACACTCCCCGGGCACGAACCAGCGTCAACAGGATTGCCAACTCAGCCTGCCTGTTGGGTTAGATCTCTCAGTGCAGCCACCTCCACGCGACCAAACATCCAAAACACAAACAGCAACAACACAGCGAGACGCGAGAGAACAACAACACTGGTAAAACTGAAGCCCACTCGTCCGCTTTATTCAAGCATACAACTATGGTCAAAGACTGTACGCTTTGAAGTCAAGCGTAGAGGAGAAATTCTCCCATGTATTTAGATAAGCGGTAGAGGGAGTGGATCGGAGAACGACTCTTGAAGAAAGGCGTAAAATACGCTCCAGTTCTACCAGTGAACAACAAAAACAAAACAACAACAAGGAGCACCGCCAGCCGCAACCACCCCACCCCATCGCGCTGCCGCCCAACGTACAGTGGGCCAGAAGACCGGTGGAGGCGGCCAAAACTCTTGACGCGTTTTGAGCTCCAGAGTCGCTAAATGGGTCTAGAACCGAAAGTGTGACCCCACCATTGGATTGCTTTCCGAACGAGAAATCTATTGGTGGGGGCACACGCTCGGTTCGAGTCCTGCTTAGCTACTCTGATTCTCAAAACGCGTCTAGAGTTTCTGCCGCCTGCGCCGTTCTTCTGGCCCACTGTGCACCGCCCCCGGATCGGCTCGGCACGTGGCGCCCCCTCGCGGCGGCCGCCGCAAGCTCGCCTCGCCGGCGGCCCCGGCAACAGGTGGGCCATCGGGGCGTCGCCAGGCGTCGCGCGCCGCGTCCGGGACGGCCCGGGAGCCCCCACCCCCATCACCACGGCCCCGGTCGATCCCCGGAAGGGTTTGCCAGCGCGCCAGCCCCACAGCACGCAGCGGACCCTGCGACGAGTCCGGGCCCGGCGCGCTTGGGCAAGGCCGGCCAGGCCCTCGGCGCAGGGCGTAAGGCGCAGGGCGCAAGGCGCAGGGCGTAAGGCGCAGGGCGTAAGGCGCAGGGCGTAAGGCGCAGGGCGTAAGGCGCAGGGCGTAAGGCGCAGGGCGTAAGGCGCAGGGCGTAAGGCGCAGGGCGTAAGGCGCAGGGCGTAAGGCGCAGGGCGTAAGGCGCAGGGCGTAAGGCGCAGGGCGTAAGGCGCAGGGCCGTAAGGCGCAGGGCGTAGGGCAGGGCGTAAGGCGCAGGGCGTAAGGCGCAGGCGCTTAAGGCGCAGGGCGTAAGGCGCAGGGCGTAGGCGCAGGCGAAGGCGCAGGCGACCATCGCCCTTCCGCCGCGTCCACGCGGACCTTCCGCAATTTCTTCCGGCATCTTTCCGCATTTCACTGCCTTGACCGAACCCTTGCAAAGTACCCGAACGTGTCGACATGCTTGTCTAGCGTCAGTCGGGAAATAACGTTTCCGACACACTTCCCCGACTTATTTCGATAAAAAATGCCAGTGCTCTGACATTGAAGAAATTTTGTAGGCCTTGGCAGGAACCAAACTTCAGCCCGAAATCCCGAATTTTGACGTCAGAAAGTGACATCAATTTTTTAGAGTGCCCTGCACTGCCGGTCTGAAATTTAATTCGTTTCAACTAAAACCCTGCGGTGTTTGCATCCCAAATCTCAGCCCACTCCGTCCCTGGAGTTCCTGGAGTCCCTGGTTGCGGCGAGGCGGTGCGGCGAGACGCGAGTCCTCCCAATAATGCAAACGCGATGAGAGATTAATCAGAGGTTCAGAGGAAACGACTCCAAACGAACTCGGTTCGCTGTCGGTCAACTCGGAACGGGATTTTTCGTTTGTCTTTCCCCTGCCCGCCTCGCGTCTCGCCTCGTGAACACGAAAATGACAACACAATCAATAGGCACCGCCAGCCAAGCATGCCGCCACACAACACGAGTGAACGAGGCACCGGTAAAATATCGGTACCAACAAACACAAAATCTTACAAATTTCCAAACATAATTAAAATGGCACTTTTTCGTTAATTTTGTTACGATTGAGTTCAAAATTATTATTTTTTCTCGGTACTTAGATATTGTAATTGTCTGACTTTAATTTATTTTTTTAATTTTTGCAAGCTTTGCTGACGGAGCCAATCTGGACACGTATTTTAGGTGGGAGGGGAGGGGGAGGGAAGCACCGACGACAGGGCAGCGCACCGCACGCTGAATGCGAGCAGTGCCGCTCTGTCTCCGTCGCACTCGAGGGGCATCCCGTCGGGGTGCGAGAGAGACGGAGCGAGGAGTGCGCACAGCGGAGTCGTCGGCCAGCTGGCCGGCGAGGAGGCGCGTGCACGCAGCCTGACGAGCGATTCTGTCTCTCTCGCTCCCATTACGGAGAGCCCCATGAGTGCGAGAGAGACAGAGCGACTCAATGACTCGGCTGGCCAGTGCACGCGTCGTCGTCACGGCCGTGCTCGCTCGCTGCTTCGCTGTGCGTTCCGTGCGTCCGTGGCACGGCACTGATCACAGGCATTACGGGGCCCTTCTGCACATGCCGCCGATGTCCAGCTGCCCCGGGGCACAGTGGGCCAGAAGACCGGCGCCGGCGGCCAAAACTCCCGGCGCGTTTTGAGCTCCAGAGTCGCTAAATGGAACTTGAACGGAGCGTGTGACCCCACCGATGGATTTCTCGTTCGGAGAGCAATCCATTGGTGGGGTCATACGATCAGTTCCAGTACCATTTAGCGACTCTGGACCTCAAAACGCGTCCGGGATTTTGAGCGCCTCCACCGGTCTTCTGGGCCACTGTGCGGGGGGAGGGGAGGGGAGGGGGGAGGCCGTCATCGGCCGGGGTACGGACCTGCGCGCACGTTGACATCGCGGGAGTGCACGGAGCCGACGGGGTTCCTGGCCAGGCACACGTACACCTGTGCGTGCACCTCCTGACGGTAGTCCTCCGCGCGGAAGGGCGGGAACACCAGATTGCCGTTCGGAAGGACCTAATAAAGCACACACAAAACAAATTTAGCAAAGAACAAAGTAAATCAGTGTTTGAACCAACGCTTTCCGGTCCCGGAAACTGCGGCGCTAACCGCTCGGCCACAGTACCTGGCGGAGGCCGGGGACGTCGGTGACTGCGGTGCCGTTGGAGCGGATCCAGACGATTTCCGGGTTGGGGGTGCCCATGGCGGAGCACTCCACGGTGGCGCCGGTGGTGTTGGAGAAGTCGACGCGGTTGATGGGCTCGTGGATGAACAGAGGGCCGGCGCGGTCGTCCTCCACGGCGGCGGCTGCAACACAACAAACTCCATTAGGATTGGGAGAGTACGCGGGCAACGAGGCACAGTGGGCCGGAAGACCGGTGGAGCCGGCCAAGACTCTGGACGCGTTTCAAGCTCTACAGCCGCCTTAGAGAACTCGAATCAAACGTGTGACCCCACTGATGGATTCGTCGTTCCGAGAGCTATCCATTGGTGGATGTTCGGTTCGCGTCCCATTTATCCACTGCAGCTCTAAACGCGTCCGGGATTTTGAACGCCTCCAGCGGTCTTCTGGCCCACCGTGCAAGGCAGGCGAGGGATGAAACCGGAAATCTGTTTCGCAGCACCACGACAAGGAAAACAACAATGTCAACGACAACAACATGGTTGTGACGTCGCGAGATGACCCCGTTGGCGGCAGGGCGTCCGTCCGTCCGTCCAGGACGACGGGCACGTCAATCCAATCTCATCTCTTTCATCCGCCAACAATGGCCGCATCGGCCACAATGAACGCCTCTGTGGGAGTGTGTGTGTAACAGAGAGAGAGAGAGAGAGAGAGAGAGAGAGAGAGAAGAGAGAGAGGAGAAGGAGAGGATCGTCGCTCGACACCAGGCTGCGGGTCACGGTGACTGGGCAGGACGGGAAAGGATAATATTGATTAATTTCAGTGACACCGATGCCGATCCGAGCGCACGCGCGTGCCTCCGTGACGCAGGAACAGCACGACACGATCAAAACGGTCAAAAATGTCTTTGAAAAATCGTGTTTTGGGCCGACTTTAAGCAGCCACTGCGTCTTATCCGAGGCGGGCCTTCGTACTTTCTCAACGGGCATTTGGTCTTTGGACCTTCCATTTGCATGCCTTAGTTACGGAGTGCGATTATCCGCTTTAGTTTGGGAGCAGTATTGGCTCAAAGTTGATCAAAACGGTCAAAAATGCCTTTAAAGTCGGTTTTGATTAACTTTGAGCCAGTACTGCACCCAAACTAAGGCGGATAATCGCACTCCGTAACAAAGGCATGCTAAAGGAAGGTCCAAAGACCAAATGCCCGTTGAGAAAGTACGAGGGCCCGCCTCGGATCAGACGCAGTGGCTGCTGAAAATCGGTCCAAAATACGATTTTTCAAAGGCATTATTGACTGTTTTGGTCAACTTTGAGCCAACACTGCTCCCAAACTAAGGTGGATAATCGCACTCCGCAACAAAGGCATGCTAAAGGAAGGTCCAAAGACCAATTGCCCGTTGAGAAAGTACGAAGGCCCGCCTCGGATCGGACGCAGTGGCTGATTGAAGTCGGCCCAAAGCACGACTTTTTAAGCAGTTTCCTTTCGAGTTCCCCACTTTGAGCCAATACTGCTCCCAAACTAAGGCGCATAATCGCACTCCGTAACAAAGGCATGCTAAAGGAGGGGTCCCGTGGGGTTGCGAAATTTTTCCTGGGGGTCGCGGAAATATTTGGCTACAAATTTGGGGTCGCGAGCCGAAAAAGGTTGAGGACCGCTGGCCTAGCCGGTCCAAGGACCATCCTCCTCGACGCCGTACTGCTCGGAGCCCCAGCCGGCCCGCGGCCCGTGATTGGCCGCCTGCCCCGCGTCGCCGCGTCGTGCTCGGCCACGTGGGTCGTCTCGCGGCACAGAGGCGCGGCGCCGGGGGCCCTCCCTGGCCGCGCCCCATGGCAGTGCTGCCGGCTCGGGGGGCGCCGGCCCACTGAGCGAAGCGGAGCTAGCCTCTCCCTCACTCCGCCGCCTTGGCCGCGGCGGGCGCGGCGCGCGGGGCCGCGGGGGCCACCACATGCCGGGCCGCGTGGGGCCTTCCCTGCGTCCCGCGGCGTCCGCCAGAGCGCGCTGGCGTCGCGTCGCCGAGCCCCACGGCGAGCTGGGCGCTGCCGCGCTGCTGCGCGACACAGGCCCCCGCCGCGCTTTGTTTTGGAGGGAGGGGCCCAAGTGCCTACAGTGCCGTGCCGCCGTGCCGCCGAGCCGCGCGGGGGTGGCGGACTAGGGCCTGCTTCAGCTGGTTGCAGCCCCACTCCGTGGAGCCGTAACGCGAGTTTGCATTAACAATGCACGCTGAGGTGTGACCCCTTGCAGTAGCCGCGAGCGTAAGGGCGCCGCTCTTCGCCCCGAGGGACCCGCGTTCGACTCCCGGCAGCCCCCTACATTTTTCAACGGGCTCGTAATTTTTCAGAAGGCCCTCGGTTTTGCTTTGCTTGGCATCATCGTGGAAGAGCATTTTTCTGCACCCCGCTGGGGTCGGTACGGCGGAGGCCACGGCCGCGGGAGGTTCTCCAAACAGGACTCGAACCGAACGTGTGACCCCACCAATGGATTCCTCGTTCGGAGAGCAATCCATTGGTGGGGTCACACGTTCGGTTCGAGTCAGATTTAGCGACTGGAGCTCTCCGGGATTTTGACCACCTCCACCGGTCTTCTGGGCTACTGTGCGGTGGTCACACTCGTCCTTGGACAGGACTTCCACACAGAAAACTCATCTTCGTTGAGCAAACATGTCTTCGTCTGAGCGGGCTGGTGTGTACTAAATCTCACTGGACCGCGCTTGTTCGCAGCTGGCCTCTCCTAGTGGCCGAGTGACGCGAGAGACGCGAGAGGCGCGGATGCAGAATGCCCGTTCGTCTGTCAAACACACAAGGCTGCCGTTTGCGGCGAGGAAACAACACTTTGCGCGACTGTACAGTACCGGCCGGTACGCCAGGCCCGGCCAGGCCCGGCCAGGCCCCCGCAACTCGCTATCGACTTTGTTGCCATTTGTTCTTTCTTTTTTCCACGTTGGCATTCCTGTTGGCGGGAACGGCGCGGGGGCCGCGATGGACGAATGTGCGCCACTGCGTGCGTTTTCAGCCGCACTGGCAAGATGCCCCATCCGGCATCCCCCCTCCCTTTTTCCTCGTATCGTCCGACGCGCGTTTGTTCTCGTTGAATTGCTAAGAGGCGGCAGGCTGGACGAGCGGCGCGGTGCGGCGCGGTGCGCCACGCGGAGCAGCCTTGCCTTGATTCCGTTCATTTGAAAGAGCGCATCAGGGATTCCAAAGTTGACGCCGACGAGACGCCGAAGCGCAAATCTCATTTTTGGCTCGCGGCCGTTGGGAGCATTGCGAACCGCCGAAGGAGCAGGGCGTGAGTCACCCGCGTACCTCTCCTCTTCTGAAAGCAATGTTCGCTGTCTCTCTCGCACTCATGGTGCGTCCCGTGCAGGCGCGAGAGAGACAGACCGACGGAAGCGGTGCTCGGAATGAGCCTGCTGACTCACGGGTCCTCCTCGTTTCGTTTCGAGGGGCTCAGTGAGACATCTCCCACGGGCCGCGGTGCCGCGGTCGGCAAGGCGACCAGCACTCACACTGCATGCCGTATGCCCGGCCACGCTGCGACACTGCGGCAGGCACGTCGCGGCACAGTGGGCCAGAAGACCGCGGAGGCGGCCAAAACTCCAGACGCGTTTGGGGCTCCAGAGTCGCTAAATGAGACTCGAACCGAACGTGTGACCCCACCAATGGATTGCTCCCCGAACGAGGAATCCATTGGTGGGGTCACACGTTCGGTTTCGAGTACCGTTGAGCGACTCTGGAGCTCAAAACGCGTCTAGAGTTTTGGCCGCCTCCACGAAAGTGACGTCATAGTGGTGGCGGGAAGTGAGCGGCGCGCGATATGCGACTTGATGTCTGCGGACGTTGACACTGCACTGGCCTCCCCGCCCCCGCCAAGCACACACTCAGAGGCCTTGTCTGCCTGTCCCTCGGGATGCATGGCACCAAAATTATTATTTCGTCCTAACCGACCACAAAACACAACACGTCAACGCAGTAAACTCGGTCAACATTTATTAAGGTCATCCCATGTGATGCCAAAAAGTGATTTTACAAAAATCTTTGTGACAGTGCAGTGCATTGGCGGACGGTCCCCGGGGCACACATACACTTAATCATCGTCACACTGACCAGCCGCAATCACTTCATCACCAGAACGAGGACGCGCGCGGTCAGGTCCGCCATTCGGCCTCCAGAGTGAGTAAGTGTGTGTGTGTGTGTGTGTGTGTGTGTGTGTGTGAGTGTGTGTTTTTTTTCTTTCGACGATAGGGGCCGTCCTGGAACCAGACCAGACAAATCCTGCAATCCATTGATAAACATACCCAGTCTTCAGTACAGCGCCCGTCTCTGGATGCAAACGACATGGGTTCGATCCCCGTCGTCGGCCTAGATTTTCTCTCCTCGGTGCGACGGCCCTGCCGATTCACCAATGAGGCTCAGAAGTGCCGCTTAGCATTTTCGGGTCGAGAATTGAATTTTAATCCCGCTTATGAAACCGCCTGGAAACGGCATAGCAAGGCGGTGCTGGGCCCCGGGCGCCCCAGTCACGTCGGCAATGTTGTTAAAAGCCGCTTGATCAATCCGCGGGGCTGCCGTGTAATTAGGTCGCGCCGTCTCTCTCGCACGCACGCGCCCGGCCCGCAGCCCACGCAGCCGTCTCTCTCGCACCCACGCGGGGGGCCCCGCGAAGCCTCATGCAAAAACGTACAAAGTCGACGACAAAGGCGTGTGCGCCAAGTTCAAAATATTTCAAAGTTCGAAAGAAAATAAATAAAAAATTACAACTTTTGCAAACGAAAAGTTAAAAAATTTAAGTTGTTTTGGGTCAACTCCAGCGGCTCTGTGGTGGTGCGCCGGCTAGGCGGCTAGACCAAAGTGGAGCCACAGGTGGTGGGCGTCGCGGCGTCGCCTCTGTCTCTGATTGGGCGCCTCGCGTGATGACGCCACGTCCCGCGATGTCAACGTCCACCTCAAATATTGACGGTAATTGTAAGGCACGCCAGGGGCACGCCAGGGGCACGCCAGGGCCACGCGGAGACGGGCAGGGCACGACGGGGGGCCGACGGGGCCGACGCCTGTCAGTCTGGGTATCGGCGATGGTGTCGTCCGGGAAGGGGTGAGGTGAGGTCAACGTACAAAAAAGGAAAAAAAAAGAAATTGTAGGTGGTATTGAACCCACGTCAAACAGGCTCAGAATAGGGATACTCAAACC